ACCGTACCCAGGGTACCCTCTGATAGTACCCTGGGGGACATAGATCCTATCAGCGTCAGTTGGCTTTGAAAACTGAAGCAGTTGTAAAGATAATATAATTGTACGGTTGGCTCAAAAGATCATTGTTGCTCATATCCACTTATTTTAGGGTTAATTTTAATTTTAAGGTTAGACATAATTCCAAGTTCAGGCACGTAACGTGACAGGCCTAATTGCATTGCTTCTCTGCATTTGTGCGAGCTACTCGTGTCTACTCGTTTGCTAATTTGTTTGGTCACATACATTGTTTACAAGATAAATATTCTTCTATATTGGGACAGGCATGAGTTTGGCAAGAACAGAGAGCAATTTTTGAGTCCTTGCGCAGAAAAATGCATTGGCATTCAACCCACAGGCACTGGAACATTTGCGTGCAGCAGTTGCAGTGATGGCAGTGCAGCCAGACTCTCAGACCCAACAATAGGTGGGGGGGTGTCTTCAGCTGTATGCGGCATCTCGGACTATGCTGAAAGCACAACCATTGTCATTCTGCCAATTGATATTTCTATCATAAAAGACAAGGGCACATTTAAGTTGATCAGACACTGAGCCAATGAAAACCAGGATTATTACTGCTTCAGATGATATTAAAATAAAACCTTTATTGAAATGCTGTCAGGTAAGTAATACTCTAGTAAAATATTGTTTTGTGGATTTTTTGAAAAAAAAAATTAATATTTTATATGACAGTTTTTTTTAACTTAGTTAACTTAATCAGTGTACAAGACACTAATTCAGCAGTCTGACGTTTACTAGCAAATACAATCAGGCAGGCAAATTAAGGTAAACAAAAAATTTGGTAAGTCAATTCCCTAATAATTTAGCATGCTATTAGCAGCCACTAGCCACAAGTCGGGCATTATATTTAAATATAATACCATTCATGGTAAAATTGTTAGATTTGGCAAGTCCCTGTGTCCCCACTCTCACACACTGGGTGACCAAAAACATGCACGATAGATGCGTTATGTTAATAATGAATGATGCAGGTAATTATTAGTTGTATTTTATAATGTGATATATTACAACACATGCAACACATACTGCATACATTGTAACATAAGATGAACTACAACTTGAATGTGCATGCCTGCGGGAAAGATGTGTTTGTTTACAGCAGCTGCTGTAGACCACAGGCACTTGGAGCGTTTCAATAAAATATAATGCTAAATAAATACGAAATCTATTTTCTACCAAAGTCTTCATGTTTCTATACTCTCTTTCACCTATTATTTGTGAACACAAGGTATGTGTCTTGTTTGCCGTTGCGTTTTGGAAATCCGATTGGCTGGTAAAAATACTTTTCGATGCAATCGGCTATAAAAGATTTTAGCGAAAGTGCAGTCAGTGACAGAACTAATGTACTTTCATAAAATTGAGGTTAATCTGAACATAGTTAGTAGAGGGAGTCTCCCTCTACGAACTATGATCTGAAGAGACAGGATCCCGCCCGACACACGAACAAAGTCTGTCCACGGAGAATAGCGAGAGTGAACAACGTCCATAGTGATGTTTCATGTCCGCTTTTACGTTGAGATCTATATCTATCCTACGTGCGAGCATGGTGTTTGGTGCCTGGTTATATCTTTGCAGTTTTCAGTCTAACTGTTTCAGTGTTTACGACACAATAATAACAGGACTGTAGGCCTACGATACGTAACTATTCCTGCCCGTCACGTAGTAATTATATACATAATCTCTTAAATGCACGCGTGATCTACTACTAGATAAAAATTTTATAATTTATGAATGAATAAACCCATACCTCGTAACGATTTCGCTGTCGTATAACGTAGTCGTTTCATTATTTCGTAATGAAGTTATCGAAATACATGATCTATTCATGTATATTAAGTAATACACTATATATAAGTATATACACACAAGACAGGCCCGTAGCCAGCTTTATATTGGGGGGGGTTCGTTTTTCAATGTTGGCAATTTGCTCGGCAGGGGCGTGTACAGGATTTGTACCAGAGGGGGTCTAACCGTAACACAAAGTTGCGAGCACACGAAGGGGGCGTCTGGGGGGCACTCCCCCAGAAATTTTTTAAAATTACACCCCCTCAGATGCGTTTTCTGCGCGAGCAAGGGGGGTCCGGACTCCCTGGACCCCCCCTGTACACGCCCCTGCTCGGGCGCGAAGCGACCAGGCGAGGGAGCCAAGCGACTGAGCGGGGGGGGGGAGGGTGTAGGAGGGGGGTGTTCACTGTTCACCCTCCCGCA